ATGAACTTTAGGAAAGAGTCTGAAGAAAAATAAAGGTAAGTCCTTGATACATCAGGCACTATGAGTCCCTCTGTGATAGAGATTAGAGACTCAATCTACTCTAAAGATCCTAGGTTGTTGTAGACTATCGATGATTTGTGCTACATCACTTGGCTATTCAGCAGGTAAGTCCTACTTTTAGGCACTACTAGACACTGGAGCTGTCTTTTTATAATTCAGAGTCAATTGAAACAAACGTTTGTCATGATTGGCAGGACTCTTAGAAAACCTTAAGACCTACTTGAAGGTAGGCATGTCTTTGAATGGTGGCAAGAATAATGTAAGACCACTCAGTTAATTTAGGGTGAAATTACTAATTCCCCTGTTTCCCTACTGAAACCTTAAGACCTCCGTGCAGGCAGGTACATATTTGAATGGTGGTAAGACCTACTTACAGGCACACAATATTATAGTATGGTTCAGCCAATTCATGGGTAAGTCTGTAATTTGCTTCCAAGGTTCTAATAGCAAATTTACAGTGGCCTGACCATCAGAAAAATTAGTATGTCCTCGGGTAATTCGGACTACTATATAATAGAGGAGGCATAATTCCCTCTACTGACTATTAATTCCCCTAAGGAAGACTTGAGCCCTTAGGAAGAGGATACTACCTTTCCTTTACACCTAGGATATGGATATGAGGATGACTTGAGCCCTCTTAAATCACAAATGGTTTACTAAATTTTACTGACAAACTTACTTTTCCCTCAATGCTTGAGGAAGGAGGACGGTAATTCCCCTCATGGTATAATTCCCTATTATGGTAATAATGGCTATTCTACTGTATTCAGTATTATTACATAATGCAGGGGTAAAGAGATTGCTTCCCTTCACAGAAAGATGATTAAAGAAGAAGATAGGCAACTTCCTATCTCTAAGGATAATATCTTTGCTTCTACTAGACTATCGGAAAGAATATCTGTGGAAGGGTAAGAGGAATTCATAATCTCAAATGTCAGTAAATTGTATCAGACAATTACCCATCTGCTTCTTATTGTTCTGATCTTACATAACACCTGTTGCTGGTTAATTAATTTGCATTCACAGAGTAGTCTTTGTCTCTCTGTTGAGCAGGAGATTCCTATAATCTCTATCAGTAAACCCTATCAGACAATTATGTATCTGTTTCTTATTGTCTTGATATTACATTATATTTGTTGTTGGTTATTTAAATTGCACTCACAGAACAGTCTTTGTCTTTTTGTCTCTGTGCTCTCAGCTATCTTTTCAAGTGATTTATCCATTTTCCCTGCTGTAATAATATAATATATTAAGCAGGAAGATACATTGGGTATATGTATAAGCACTGTAGGGGTGTCTGCGACCTCTTTGATATTGATGATTGCTTTTCAGCATTTATAGGAGATATCAACTAGTCCTCTCATTAGAGTTGTTCCTTAACTAGAGGGATTAGAAATCAGGGTAATACTATCTGATTACAGTGCAACTGAGTCGAGATTTATTCATATTCTATGCTAATATATCTTTATATTATGCTAGTACCTTACTCCTCAGTCAAGAATAATTAGGCCCTAGGATTGGGAGCTTAATCAAAATAATTGTGTTGAGTCAGTCTACCTCACACTAATTGAACTTTGGACTATCTTTTTGTTATAAGGTAATCATTCACACAGCGCCTACTTCCTTTGTGAATTGCCTTGTCCAAGTTCCAAGAGCTTTAAAGATCTGTTCAGCCTTACAGCTATTATAAATACTCTATACTATTCGTCTGGGTTCTCATAGTTAGAGTAAGCTCTTAACAGATGGTTAGGTTTGTAAAAAGAAATCTGCTGGCCTGTGAGATTCCTACCATCACCCGATTGTCATTTTATATCACTGATATATCTTTGTTGTTTTTGCTATAGCTATTATCAGTTATCTCCCATTTTGGTTATATAAATTTAAATAATTATAGGCGGTCTTAGTTCCGAAGTTTATATTTATAATGAAAAAAACTTAGAAATTAAATCTCGATAAATACTTTATAATATTTGGTCTGACTATCCTATTTTTAAGCAGAGTCAAGGCAATTACATGCTGATTGAACGAATTTCTAGATTCTAGTACTAATAAGTGCGAATGTAATTCTTCTATTTCTAATATTTATAAAGTGTGCCCTGATTAATGCAGAAATCAATAATGCTTAATTATTGACTCATAAGTTTAATGTCTTTATTGCAATGAAGGACTAAGAAATTTATAGAATTGGTAATGCATTAAAGAATGTCCTTCTGATTTCATAACAATAAATAAAAGAAACTTAGATAGTGAAGAAGATGACAACTTTTCTTATTGTAGAGGTAACTCATCAATTTTATTTAAATTTAGATCCCTCTACTTATTATATAAATAATTAAGCTCAAACTAGTTATGAACTTGGTACAAAAGATTTTCCCTATAAATAGCTTGACGATGTTTTCAGAGAAGTTTTTAACAATGCTAATGATTAAAAATATGGTGTCACCATTAAAATTATGTCAAACAATAACTTGACTTTGTATTCGGAGTCAATGCCCTTATTCTTGATAAATCACAATTTTACTATAATGTAAGCAAACACATATTTTGACTTATAAAATAATTATCAGGTCCTACACCGAGTAAATCAACCAATAGAGCCGTTAATTAGATAATAATTAAATTAATGGAGAATTGATAAATATAGAATTTGCCACAATTGATATATACTATGGCAGATAGTATAATAGAACATAAATGATAGATTCAGAAATTTTCAACCCCACGCTTTTTAAAAATGGCACACCCATACCATATTCAATCAAGTACTTATAACTATTAGATTAATAAGTCACATCAACTTTTGAAAAGATATTTAAGTATAAATTCTTTTTGAATAACTCATAGTTGATTATCTTTAAGATTAGATTTATTGAGCATAGTGCTTATTCTGTTAATAAAAATGCTTTGATAAACTCTGGTCAAAGTCTTAAATGGATAAATATTAGTGATTGTGAATTCTACATTTATCAAGGGATATTTAGAAGTGAATTTGGAATGTGATTCTCAGTAAGCAATTCCCTAATTGATTTTAAAAACATGTACTTCACTATGCTATATGAAAATGAACTAGGCTCTTGTGAACAATAAACAAATTAAGTGAGTCCTTTCACTTACATATTTGAGAATAATACTTTCTTTAACATCGGTTAACTTGAATATGGGATACCATTAAACATGTAGACATAATTTGAGCTGTATTTAGTTAAGAATAATGTTTTTAAAGGATTTTTACATAATCAATATGGAACCACGTTTTAACTTTAAATCAGCAACTCATGTCCAAGAGATAATGGTACTAGATCTTTTATCTTTGAAGGAAACGTTGTTGATCTATTTGATTAACCTAAGCAAAATGGAGTTTTACTTTTAATATTAGTATCTCTGAATTACAATTAGGAATTCATTATTAAGATATAAAATAACTAATTTAGACGTTTGGGCTACGGGCGTGATGAATTTAACTTTATAGAGATATTAGACTTAAGCTTTAGATCATTTAATGTCTAATTTAACAATAATATTTTTGATGGAATGTACTCAAATATATCTAATAGCTTAGCCAGGATAATAGCAAGATAAGTGAGAATAGATGTAAGTTATATCTTTATAGGTAACTTCTTTATGTATAGAATTTGACAGTATAAAACTCAGAAATTGGATAAGGATTTTAAATTATATCTGTGGATTGTAAAATTTCAAACATTAAATTTTAGAACCTAACATCATAAAGTAATTTATAGCGAAGTGTTAAGTTTTAATATAGACTTAAAATTCTCAAACTTATTCTTTTTATACATAAACGGAGGTTATAATAATGAAATTACAAATATATCTTTGACTGATACTGAAATGGGAACTTCATCACTTGTCTAGCTTACATCATCTTCTTATATAACATTTAACAATCTGAATATAAGGAATGTCTCGATGTCAAGCAAGAATCTTATCTAGATTGATCTATCATCATAAATATACTTCAATAATGTCTCTATCTCTGAAAACTATATACAATCAGATTGTAAGTCTTTCTATAAATGTTTAAAAATCTAAATTTAGTGAGCCTGAATTTATTTTATATCTCAAAGCTTTAATCAGGATAAGAGTAAAACACAATTGAGATTAATGGCATAATATTCAAAGATTCTAATGTATCTTTAGTATAAATTGAAAGTATCAACTCCCAAACTGAAAATGTTAAAGATGAGTAATTTAACATAAGATTTAATGATATGGAATTGAACAATTTGAAAATTAGCAATAAGTTTTCAATTATCAGGATTAATGGTATTTATCATCCCAATTTCAATATTCTTACACGAAATTTGAAAGTCTTAAACAATTACCTTGAGGATTCAAGTATTTATGAACTCTAACATAACTCTAATAATTTCACCTTCTAAAATTGCTTATTCTAAAACAACACTGGCCAGCTTTTCTAGATGCTTCCAACTTATTAAGATATGAATCTGTTATAAACTACTATATTTGAAAATTCAAGTTTTATTTTGAATAATGCAGGAGCTGATTCTTTATTTTATGCAACTGCTTATTCCAATTTAACTTTAACAAATACCACATTTGAATTAAATCATGCTATTGGAAGAGGATCGATAATATTTTCGGAAAATAATTATGCTTTTGTACAAATGAGAGGATCAACAATAAGAAATAACTATGGAAATATTGGTTTATTCCATTCTAATTTTTATTCAATTTTTAATGTTTCTGATACTGTCTTTGAAAATAATTTTGCTATTATTGGTGCTATTTTGTATTCATAAAATGAAGGAAGTGGGATATTTTAGAATTGTTAATTTACTGAAAACAAAGCGCTTAAATCTAGTCTTATTTATTCGATTAATTCATAGAGTATCATTTACATTAAGAATAGCATAATCTAGAGAAACTTAGTAGGAGAATTCAATGTTGAAAATTTAAAGGATTTAAATAAGTTATCTTTATAATATAATAATCTACTAAAAGATACGATTTATAATTTAACATATTCAAATTCTGATGAAAACTATGCAATATAATTAATTAAGAGCACCTTGAAACTTGATAATGATGTAAAAATTATTGATTAAAATATGCTTTTGCTTATCAAATCTTCCTCACTCGTAACTATTGACAATTTTTAATTACATCACATTCATTAGGACTCAAATTTAGCTTTTATCTCTTCAGACTAATCATAATTGAATATTTAAAATGGATAGATAAATAATTTTTCAGGCCTATTCTCTATTATTTAAGCAACTTCGTAATCAATTGTTAAAATAAAAAAAGTGACAATCAATAAAATTTAAAGCTAATTCATTGATTTTTCAGATTCAGATGTAAATGTAAATGGACTTATAATATAAGATATAGAGCTAAGTCAGAATTAGGAATAAATAATAAGAAGTCATCAATCTAATTATAAGTTTTCCAATTCTCAAATCTTGAGATTCTAGTCAAAAGATAGCAATAAAACTTCAATTATTAAATTAATAAAAACCTTTGCATAATTTGATAATCTGACAATTTAAGATTATAAAACATAGCCTATTTACTGTTATTTATCTGATCTTAGATTAGATAATTCAATGTTTTTAAATGGATCTAACAATTAATAATATGGGCTAGGTGTGTACAATTCAAATTCTAATATGAATATCACTGGCTGTTTATTCATGAGCATTTTAGGATTTTAAGGGAGCTCGATATATATATAAAAATAATCTAAGATGATACAAAACCTATATTTAATAGTAAAGAATTCTCAATTTATAAACAGTAGTGCCTCAGAAAATGGAGGAAGTATTTTTTCAAATGATGCAAATGTTCAAATTTATAATAGCACATTTAAGAATGGTTTGTCTAATTAATCAGGTGGATCGATATATCTCTAATGTTAATTATCTTCTGGCTGTGATTATGTGATTTAAAATAATAGCTTCATCAATAATTCAGCTAAATTCAAGGGTGGAGCAATTCTTTATGACTTAAATAGACCATTTGACTTAAAAGAAAATTTGTATTATAATAATTCTGCAAAATATGGATAAAATATAGCTTCTTATCCTTACTAAATTAAAATTCTAAATTAAGATCTTGACTTTCTTAAAAGCATTACTAGTGATGAGTTTTTAAGCAATAAATTATTAATTGCCCTTGTGGATTAAGATGACCAAATTGTTGACGATGATAATTAAAAGTCTATATAAATTTCTTCTCACGATGATGATTTATCTTTGTCTGGAATAACAAGTTTAACCAGTAATAATGGAATATTTGAGATAAACTAATTAAAAATTATTGGTGAACCTTCCAATTCATATAAAATTTAATTAAGCTCTAGCTCTATTGATCAGACTAAGATAGACTTTAAAACAAATGGACTTAGTGCAGATTTTATGCTAGATATTAAGATAAGAGACTGCAAACAAGGTGAAATAAAATCTGAGAAAAAATGCTATGAATGTCCAAAAGGTTCATATTCTCTAAGTACAAAGGATAAAATCTGCTAGGCTTGCCCTTAAAATATTAAATGTGATGGTGGAGCTAGAATAATTTTAGAACCAAATTATTGGAGAAGTAATACAAATACAACTTAAATATATAAATGCCCTAAAAATGAAGTTTGTCTGTAAATTTCCATTTGCTTAATTATTAATAATTTAGAGGCGGATATGACTCAGCATGCTAAACTGGATATCACGGCAAGCTGTGTACATAATGCATTCAAGATTCGTAAGATGACTATTATGCAAGATCTGGGTTATATGATTGTTCAAAATGTCTTTCTTTTTCAAACTAAGTAACTATTTTAGTAGCCATTTTAGGTGGCTTAGCAACTTACATAGTCTACATTCTATAGTAAGATTATTATTTATCAGTATTATTTTAGTTCACTTATTCATAATTCAAAAAGAAATAATCCCTAGACCTTGCTTATGAGAATATTAACTAACTATTTTTAAGTTGTAATGATGGTTAAAGAATTTCAACTAAACTGGCCTGATTAAATTCTTGAGATACTTGAATATATTTCATTAGGTGGATCAGGATATTCATAAGTTCTTTCATTCGAATGCTTGATGAAAGAAAGTGGATATAAAATTGGGATTAACTAAATATACTTCTTTGCAATATTATTGGGACTTCTACCTATATTTCTAAGCATTATATCTTATTTCTTGTGGACTTTGGCATACTAGATAAAAAAATTTAAGCTAACTAAAAAATCCTACATGAGATATATTAGAACATCAATAATTTTGTTTGGCTATCTCTGCTATCCAATTATATCATAAAATAGTTTTTCATTACTTAGCTGTATTACTTTTGAAGATGGTAAGAGATATCTAAGACAGGATATGAGTATTTAATGTTGGAATGAAGAACATAATAGAATGGCTCTATCAATCGCCTTACCTTATATAATTATTTGGGCAGTTATGTTTCCAACTCTAATAGCTTTTTAGCTATGGAGAAAAAGAGAAAGATTGTCAACTAATAAAATGATGACTGAATATGGTTTGTTTTATACAGGATTAAAAGATGAAAATTATTATTGGGAAGTTACATATATCAATCTGAAGAAAATAATCTTCATCTCATTATCATCAATTTTATCCACTGTTGATTCCTATATTAAGGTAAGATAATTCAGATTTAATCTTTAGGCCTTAATTGGATTAGGACTTATCTTCATCGAAATGCAGCTAGCTCAAATGAAGTCTCCATATATGGATATATAAATGAATTCTATTGATAGATTAAGTTCATATGCATCTGTAATTTAACTCTAATAATACTTGTTTAGATTTCTATTTTATTTGGTGGAATGTTTTTTATTAGTAACGACATTAGAGATAGACAATCAGCAATGACTGGACTATTCGTACTTATAATTATTTTAAATGCAGTCTTCTTAGTGAAATGGATCTACACTTTTCTAAAAATAATATTGACTAATAAGATCAAATAGCTATAAGGAAAAATAAAAATACTATAAAAACTAAATATTTAGACATATTAAGAAAGGTGGACTATAAGGCAGGAAGAAATTGATTCAATAAGTCAACTTTAAAATGAACTGAAAAGAAAATCTCAGTAGAGATAAGAAGATATTGAAAAAATAGAAATATAGCAAACATAGTAAAAAAAGAGATTTTCAAAAAATAGGGAGAGGAAAAAAATCCCAAAAGTAGTAATATAAAAGGAAAATGCTTATTAAGAATTAAGTTAAAGATAATCAAGTGTTTTTAATGTGGTAAATTAGTCTGATAAACTCCCTCTAGGAAGGTGGGATCAGCTCGTAAGTTTAAAGTTTAAACATAAAAGCCCTTAAAATAATAGCAATTTAATGAATGCTTCTAATAATCAAATTGAAAATTCTTGGCTAGATGAGAGTGATTATTCTAAAGTAACTTTAAATACAAAGGCTCGTAATACCTCATTTATTCCTGATGCTACTTTTATTGGGGAAAGTTGATTTTACAGAATTTATCAAGAACTGTATTAAAAAATAAAGACTGTTATACTATAGTCAGGATATAAGTTATGATTATATAATTCAAGAAAATAATTAGATTTGCATCATTTTCTATCAAGTAATCAATGCAATCATCGGGGTTTTGGGGTTTTGGGGTTTTGGGG